AGATAATAAGAAATTTTAATTTTCTCATGAATCTTATAACTTAAATATTAACTGTTAGTATAATATTTAAGTTCATGTTCATGAAAGTGTTCTTGTATATCGCAAGAAAACTTTACACTTCTTGTGTACCACAAGAACTGCAAAGGAGTTTGGAGTATAATACATCGATTCCATAATTCCAAGTTTAAAATTTGAAGAGGGAACTGGTTAGAAAAACCATACAAGGTTATTACATAACATGTGCAAGTAAGCTTTGAAACCACTTTATGATAATACAGGGATCAGTTTTCAATTCCATAATTCTGTGGTCTTAATTCTGCCACATACTTTGGTATGTTACAGTTTAAAAGAGAGAAAGTATGTCTACCTGATGTTTTCATTTGTACAAAATACAGTCTCTCCCAAAAGTGTTCGCACACTTTAAGAATTTTCAGAAAAAGTGCTGTAACCCTGAATTGAATTCGAATATAAAGCCCAATAATTTTTCCATGTGATTTTGAATAAAACCAAATGTTTTAATTTTTAATATTGACTTATTTTCTTTTTATAAAATTGAAAATGTAAGGAGACATACATAAAACATGCCACAAAAGTGATCGCACAACGAAACATTTTTATAAAATTTCATAAATAAAATTATCGTTTACCACTTTTTTTTTTTTTTTATTCTGATGACATTTAAAAAATTGTTTGGCTATATTTTGCTTGTTTATTTCATTACATTTTATTTAATGTTTAAAAATGGCATAGTCATATCGGAACAACGAACTGCATTCAGAAATTGATCATTCTTTATCATAAGGATGGAAATTCGATTCGGGATATCATTAAATTAGTAAATTTATGCCATTCTATGGTTCAGTATGTGATAAAATGCTCTAAAGAAAAAAATCGAATCCAAAATAAAGTAAGAAGAGGTTGTAAGGCAAAGTGAACACAACTTGATCAGACATTTATAGTTAGAAAATCTAGGAAAAATCCATGTTTGAATTTTATAAAGATTTTTATAGAATTAACTGAAAAATTTTCTACTTCAGTTTCACTTAAAACTGTTCAACAAGTACTCAGATCAGCTGGACTACATGGGCACTCTGCTCGAAGTTTTTGAAAGTGAAAAAAATAGAAAGCTTAGGCTTTTCTTGTCAAAATCAATAGTTATAAGCCCAAAGCATATTGGAATCCTGTCTTACTTGCAGATGAAAGAAAATTTAACATTTTTGGCTCTGATGGACATATAATTGTATGGAGGGAAAAAAAGGAATGAGGAGCTTAATCCCAAGAACTTGGTTGGAACAGTAAAATATGGCGGTGGAGGTGTTTTTGTGAGAGGGTGCACGTCAGCATCAGGATTAAATAATTTAATGTTTATTGATGTCACAATGAATCATGCTCTTTATTTAAGTATTTTAAAAGATAATTTAAAATTATCTGCCCAAAATTTGGATCCTGGAAACAACTTTGTTTTTTATCAGGTTAATGATCCAAAGCAAACTGCCCTCAACATTCGCCTTTTGGGTATCTATAACTGTCCACAAGTTCTGAAAACACCACCTCAGTAAACAGATTTAAACTCAAAAGAATGCATCTGGAGATAATTAGAGGTTAGATTATGAAGACATAACATCAAAATAAAAACCAAACTAAACACAGTAATGATGAAAGAATGGAGGAGCATTGATGCAGATATTACAGGAAAAAAAAAAAAAAACTGGTGAACTCTATGCTCATATGTTTAAGCTGTCATAAATACTGCAGGATGTACTATAAAATATTACAATATTTACTAATATGTACAGATTTTTTAAAGCATATGAAGACTTTTGTGAGGTAATATTTATGTTACTTGGAAGCACTTCCGCAAAGAACCCGGTAAATGTAAACATCGCCAACTTTGGCGATAATAGTTCAAACCTGGTAACCCAACGGATTTTATCCTATTCGCTTGTTCGAAGTGTGCAACCATTCCTCATGCGTTCATTTTGCTCTTTTATCACTGTATCACTCTTTTATCACTTTTGGTAAAATCCTAGTATACGGTGCAGCCTTGGCGCGATTTTCAAAATTATCACCAACATCAAAAAATATCCAAAGAACGTCTAAATATACTATGTGTGTATTTACATAGTATATACACTATACTATATATCTTGAATGACCCGTTGACTACATCGTATACGTCTCGTTTTTACTGCTCATCATAAAGTCGCCAAAAGTAGCCAAATCCCGTGTGCACCAGATACTAGGATTAAACCATCACTTTTATCACTTATTATTCTTCTCTTATTTATTATTATTTTTTCTGAATTTTTTTAACAACGAATAGATAGAAATATTTTCGTAGATATATGCAGGTTCTCGGTTCGCGATGAAAGGAAGAAAACACGGCTCTTCACGTTGTGTTCTTAATTATTAACAGCTATAAGAACCATGAGGTTTCCAACCCTCCAAAATAATTTTTTTCTTTCGTAGTCCGCAAAAATGTGCATGTGCATTTTAAATAATTTAGAAATGCTTTTATTTTTATTATTGGTTATTGTCATCTAAAATTATGAGAATAAATCAATTTTTATGGCGTAAAATGTTAACAAGATAATATATTGTTAATGCTTTTCTAACAATAACCTTTCAGAAGATGGCAGGTGTGACATAAATAGATGATTAAATTGAAATAAAAAATATTATTGATTATCTAAGATGACAGAATAGTTCGATGCATCACCATGCTCAAAATTGGCAAACCACTGCTGGTGTAAGGAATATATTGTTTTTTGTGTTAACTGGAATTTAAGACAAATTTTTTTCGTATATCACCCTTAACCGGTTAATTTCAGTATATTAATACTAATTTATATTTTTTAAATGAATTTTTATTTCCGTTATAAATCCTTATATATTGTCTTATGCTTAATATATTCTTTTCTGTGCTAACTTGAATTTAATACAAATTTATTTTCGTGTATCACGTTTAACCGGTTAGTTTTACATCTATATGCTTATTATCTGTGAATTTTTACTACCATATGCTTAATATATTGTTTTGTCTGCTAATTTAAATTTACATGCACTAAAAATGACGTTTATGGCTCGGCTCATGGTCGATGAACGGCGAGCTTGGGGAGTAAAAATGCAACGGCGCCAACGGGTTCTTTCCCGAAGCGCCAACAGGTTCTCTGCGGATGAAAACCCTGTTACTTTTTTATTATTGATTTTTTAAAAAAAAGTTCATAAAATAATAAATGTAATTCTACTAAAAGAAATGTATAGATACTGTAAAAAATATCATTCTAAATTATTAATTTTTATTAATGACTAAAGCAATATATCACTGAAACTCATAAGCCGCTGTAAAAAACATTTACTTGGCATTCCAGTATGGGATATCATACATTTTGAAACAATTACTGATATGCAGATTTTTTTTTTTTTTTTTTTTTCTGCTTTAGAGTTCTTTTAAAAAAATTATTTATTTCAGCAGGATTACTCTGATTTTCTCTCCATATCTGATTTTTCACTAATTTATCAGAACATATTTTATGCATTACTGTAATCATTAACTTCATATTCAAATTACAATAAGTACTATTGTGGTGAGCACTTTTCTAAAGTAACTGTTTCTGGAAAACATCTGCATTTTTCGATTACATAAATAAATATTAGCAGTGGATCTCACTTTTGTAAGATAATCTTCTACACTGAGGCCCAAACCTAATTGGAACAATGGGAATAAAAGGATTGCAATTTTTCATCATATCTTAGTTTCCTTTAGTGAAAATTATGGCAAAAAACTACTTATACAATGTCTTATTTAACAAATCTTTCAAAAATCTTACGTGGAGTGGATGCTTAGAAGTAATAACAATCTGACACCTAGAAATAAAATACAATGGCCAAGTTTAAAAATTATCTGGTTGCATTTTGAAAATATAAAAATTAATTTCACAAGTAACAGTCAAAAATGTTAAAAACACTAATTCTGGTTCAATCTGGAAAGATGCCAAAGGGTAGTACAGTCAAAAGTCGTTAATTCGGACACCCATAATTTGGAATGATCTATAATCCGGACCTCAAAACTAAAAACTTTCTGCGCATGTGCCGCGTTGACACATGCGCATAGGCGTTTACGTGTGCGCGTAAGACCTTTTACGACTGCGCATATGAGTGTGCGCAAGTGCAGAATACGTTTTCGCGTGCGCGTTTTATGTATAATGGACGTATAAGCTAAAATTATCTAATTATCTATTTCAGTTAATGTTGATGATTGCGTGGTTCCTTAATTTTCGAATTGGATCCAGCTTATTATTTTTTGCAGACTGTAAGAGCAATTTTATAAAAGTAAGCTTAAACTTTCGATTATATCAAATAGAATTTCCGATATATATTTGCTAATATGTAAAGGATCTAAAGCGAAAGTATGTTTTGAAATCCGAAATCTGTTTATCAATTTCACGCAGTGCTCGGCGGGGGGGAATCGCCGCGGCGGGCGCGTAATGAATTTGGAAGTTGATCTGTCAACACTATCCTTATCTTCAAGCGCAGATGTTTTTATTTTATTTGGCTTATAATTCCTTAACCAAATGTAGTATTTCATCTCGATGCACTGCTCCGTCTTTGATATGATTTAAAACAAGTTCCTCGTCATTATAATTCGCTTTCCGATAGCGAAGAAAGTGACAGAGGTTATTGAAAACGAAAAAATTTCGATTGACAAATTAATCGGTGTTCTAGACACAGCAATTATAGGACTTGAACAGTGGAACTTTGTAACTGAACAAGAAATTATGTCTGTTTAATAGAATTAAAGAGAAAAGTATTATCACATGAAAACGAAGCAAAACTTAAACACACTTACATTGAAAGAAATGTTTAATAAAGTAAACAAATAAATATTAAGCTTTTTCTTTTTGCAAATTTTGATACCCTTTAGATCATAATTGTTCTTTATTTCATAAATTACAGTTTCATATTTTTAATTTTAGAATTTCTGCATGCCATCTTACGAGATTTAAACTGATGATCTATAATCCGGAAAAATCGATAATCCGGAATCGCCGAAGTCCCGACGAGTCCGGATTAACGACTTTTGACTGTATTTACAAATCTGGAGCAGACCTGCAGCTACGTTTTTCAGCAGCCGGGGACAACTGAATATTTTGTGTGCCCTTCTGTATGCCGAGAATAAAAAACTTTTCATTCTAAAATTTTATAACATCAATTTGGCACCTGGGAACAGGTATTCTCCTTTGCCCCATCCTACCTATGCACTGATCTGGACAAGAATTCATTTAACATTTTGATTAGGTACTGCAAACAATTATATCATTTATATTTAATTATGATAAGTACTAAAATTTATCTTTAGTTATTAGAAGTATTATTTGATTTAATACTGCTAACAGCACATTAATTACTTATATTTAGTTATGGTTATAAAGTTTATGTTTAATTATTATAAGTATTAACAATCGACCATTTTATTATTATCATTAGGATAACCAAATCTAACAAAAAATGGTCACACAGAAATTGATTTTTAAAATCATGACTCATTCTGTTAAGCAGGTACCTCGTAAGAACAAATACCAGCATAGTTTCTTTAAAAAATTCACATATTTTTGAATTCTCACCTTGATTTCCATTTGTAAAAAAAGTGCCAAAAAATATAGCAAAAATACAATGTTGTAATTAAAAGAATAAAAGTGATCATTTGATTAATTTAAAAAAATCACCCAATTTCATTCAATTATTTTAATTTAAATTCCACAAAAAATTAAAATTAGCAAGAACTCATAAAAATTAATCACATATACTTATCAGCCTTTTTTTATACAAAATATACATATAATAAATTAAACTTTTTTTTCTCGTTTTTGTAATTTTCACAAATATCAGACCTATTATGCAGGTAAAATTTTAAATACATATTCTAATTCGAGTAATGTATCTTCAACTAAATCTGTGCAGTGTACTGCATTTTTTACTTTATCTTGTCCATACTTAGCTCTGAGTGTTCCAGGTCTTAATTTTCTAGCTATTTTGGGATCTGAAGGTCCAACAAAAGTTCGAAATTCTTTAGCTACATTTTCTTTTAGCGGTGCATTAATCTCGAGGGCTATACAGGGTCCGGTCATAAGTTGTTCTACCATTTCTCTGTACTCGGACACAACACCTTTATATACGTCTAAAAATTCAGAAGAAGTACACAAATTGAAAGTAATCACTTCAAATGCTGAAATTTTAAAACCTGCCTCAATAATATCTTGTAATATTTTGCCAACAATTTTTTCCCTCACTGCATGTGGTTTTATGATACAACAAGTGGAATTTCTAAAAAGAGCAGTGTTGCAATGAATTTCATTTGAAGATGGAAAAAATAACTTTACTTCCCGTTTAGCAATATTTTCATCACTTGGCCCAATACAGTGTTCACGAAGACTACCTAAATCTGTTTTGATAGGTTTCTCAATAGGGGCATCAGGAAATAGCAGCTTCCTAACAATATTAATGGCACTTTCACCTCTAACTTCCAATACAAGAAACTTTTCCGCTAATTTCTCTGAAAGAGAGCTGGAATTAAAACCACTTTTTTCTTTCTCGATCATTTTCCCGTGACTTAAAAGAAGATTATTTTCTTCTAAGACTGATATTATTTGACCAAGTTTAATGAAACCGGATGCATTTACAATAATAATTGAACTTTCGATATCTCTGGCAAATTTTTCAGCAGTCCTTTTGTCACCGAAATTAATTATGCATAGTTGTCTCGAAAGTACGTTGATTATGCTCCCGATGAATAAATCAGATAATTTCACACTGTCACAGCGCATTTTGTGAAGAAATAGGCGTTTAGAAACCACATCGTACATATCGACGCTACCATCAGATGGAAAGTACCCTAATAAAAATTGCCTTTTCACTTTTACCGTTGGGTCGAACCATTCCACCAAAAATCGGTACTTCTCTTCTGTCATTTAGAAGTTATTAATCCTCAAACAGATGCATAGTAAATAAACGGAAAGTAACGATAAAACATAATTTTGACACTTTTCAATTTCGTAAACACCGGTAATAAACGTACGTTAGTTACAAGAATCTTAGACTAAACTCACCTTTCCTATTGGCCTGAATTGAAAATCAGGGTTACCATTTTCGGTAATCGATCGCTCAATCTAAAAAGTAAATAAATAAACAAATTAGCGGTTACAGTTATATTAATATAGATGTCGACGTTTATGTTTCTGAAGGGTATTTAGGGGAATAATTGAAATTTATTTTTCTCAACTATATTCAGAGATTACTGTATGATTCGACAGTTTTATTCAGTGACTTCTATGAATGGCGATAATGATTAATCAGTCTTTTTTGAAAGATATCACTTTTTGTTATCTTATAAGAAAAATTAGAGTTCACTTAAAGATGATAAGCATATAACTACGGAGAAGGAGATATTTACAGCCAATTCATTCACGAGAACAGCAAGTGTATAAAATACATCATTCAGCTTTCGTTTCTCGAAATGCTTTCTCTTCAGAAGATTTGTTTGTGACGAGAGCCATAAGTGATCCGAGGTTCTTTTCTGTGTAGAAATACCTATATATTTTTAGGAAGAAAGACTATAAAACATGCCCCTAGAATCTAATATAGTCAATCTTCCAGTAAAGGAGATTCGCGTGACCAGCGCCTTTGTCTATTATTAGGAAGTGTCCTCTAAATGGGAACGTATTGGTTTTCTCTTTGGAGCTTCCAGGGATTCCGGACCTGTTTGTTAATTGATGTTTCTACATAAGTGAGGAATCGGTTGAAGAGCTTTATATTTATTAACCACTAACATTATTCTTTTACCGTTATTGTTACTTTTATTTTCGTCCATTTCATTCTAAAATTTCCATTTCCACTAGGAAACGGTATGTATATTATTAGTTAATATCTACAACTAATGTATATTAGTTAATATTTACGAGAATAAAATTCTTGATTTTAAAGGGATCACTTGGCAGCATCGACGACTGTTTCAGCAGTATTTTCGTTCAGTTCCATAACTGATTTAAATCTAAAAACCTAGGTTTTACTTTAACGTCTTGTGCTCTGTTAACCCTCAAGTGGCGGAATCTTCTATTAAAAGAGCTGTGAAAATTTGTTAAATTTAAGAACTAAGGGAAAAAAGTTTGTTTTAAACGTTCTTCTGTATCCGGTGTTACCCCTCCCGGGGGTGACTCAGGTGAACTCCTGGGAAGTACTGGTTAGGATCTGTACCTAGGCAGTCTCAACCACGGGGCTATATAATTTGACTTCACAGGACTAGAACCAGAGTATTGTGCTCAGGTTAGTTCAGGCTTAACAGGGACCGTACTGATACTGTCGTGTCTGTTCCTTCGTTTGTTGTGGAGCTAGATTGGAGATCGTTGACCGAGTCTCCGTGGGTTGGACCCGATTCAGTTCTCGTGACGGGGACTAACAAAGTGGTCATAGCACACTTTACGACGTACGTTTAGCCGATGGAGTGGTGCCCGGAGGCAAAATGACTAAGTTTTATCCATATCTACGATTTGTTCTGCCCAATGTTTTGTATAAAGCCGGACGAGGCCTGCGGGGGTTACGTCCGCGAGGACGAGGTCCTCGCGGACGTAACCGCCGCAGGTTTGATTCCCCTGCATGCCGTTTTTCATTTTTTGTGGTTATTTGTTTGTGCATCAAGAGGAGTGGAAATTTTAGGGACCGCTTCGAGGGGGGGTAAATATTCTAGCTACGCAAGCTACTCTCCTAATATATGTCGCTCATTAATTAAGGAATTACAAGCAAACACTGAAATACATGTTACATGCGAGGCGAATGTAAGCACAGTGTCTTAATCTATACCGTGACAACAGGTCGAAATTTATTTGTATTGTACTTTTATAGATTATTATCGCCACTCAATCGGCATATCGGTTAGTGACTCTGATTGCCGTACCGAAGAGCCCGGGCTCGAAACCCGGGCTGGCATGGATGTTGATCTCTAAATATGGGATGCATCTGTCTCTAAATATGAGGCAAGCCGAAAGTCCTCTCGAGAGGCTAATGGTAGGAGAAGAGGAGTGGGAGACCGTCGGGCCGGTCTCTATGGAGTGCTCTCCCTCAAAATTGCGAGCAGAACTGAGCTAAAGTCAGGCTGTCTTCCATATGTTGCTTAAGGCTCATGCCTGTGACAGACGCATTTGACTTCTTGCTACGATGGATGCCGTAGACTTGTGCTGACCATTGTTAGTCAAGTGACATTGGTAACAATAACAACATAAATTTAATATGTCAGATTCTTGCTGAATAAAACAATGTGATTTCTTTGCATTAACTGTTTTTCCACTTGGTAAAGCAACCTTTAACTCTTTGAAGACCCAAACGCTCGAGTTAGCCTTTCATTGAAACAACCACAATCACTCGAAACGGCCGTGATTGCGATGTTGTCATCTTCCATTCACCTAAGGTATGCAGTAGCAGGTGCAGTTTTCCCAAACGCATTGTATATTGCTGGCGCAGGCTTTGTCTAGTGGTTACTTCGCAATCAGTTTATTGTAGAGGGCTTGTCCTAAAATGATTTATTTGTGGTTTCTTATCTTTTAGGTTTTTTTTATCTTACAATTTTTTATCTTAGGGTTACAATTTTTTTTTAATTTAAGGAATCCCTGTATAGTTGGATTTAAGAAAGCGCGGAGATTTCTCTGGGCTGCAAAATGCCTTCGATCGGCTCTGTGCATCTGCGTTTTAGTGCAATTAACCAGAAAACTACGATCGTGCTGTAGGGTTTGTTACCAATATCATTTATCTGACTATGGCCAGCACAAGACCACGACATTCATCGTGGCAAGGAGTCATATGCATCTGTCGTTGACGTTGAGCACCATTTCTGTGCCCGACTTTAGCTCATTTCCGCTCCAAATTTGACCACAAAGTGGTCATTTTGGTCATAGAAATAATAAAAAGTCATACAGTGCAATATCAGGGAAAGATGAAGCTTGTGGAACCGTATTTGTTGCATTCTTGACAATTGTCAACAGTATATTATGATGGTGCAACATCCATCGGATCTGTTGTTGTTGTTACCAATTTCACTTGTCTGACAATGGTCAGCACAAGGCCCACGACATTCTTCATAGCATCGACTCAAATGCACCTGTTGTTGACAATAGTCTTGACCAAGGTGACAGCCCGACTTTAGCTTACTTCCGCCTCCAATTTTGAGAGAAAGCATCCCGGGGGGACGTCCAGAATTCTTCCATCCCTCTTCCTCTACCACAACCTCTCGACAGGACTTTCTGATCGCCGTTTATTTAGAGTAGCCCAATGATGCACAGACATTACGCATTTACAAACATCCACGCCTTCTCCGAGATTCGAACCCAGGCCTTTTGTACGGCAATCAGTGTTGCTGGGCGCTATTCCTGTTGGATAGCTATGATCGTGTTGTAACAGAGTATAAGCTCAAGTTAATGTGATAAGAAATCCTGTATTAAAAGAAAAAGTCTTGTATTTGAAAGCTCTTTTTTTTTTTTTTTTTTTTTTTTTTTAAAGTTGAGAAATGATAAAAATTAAACCCATTTTTAACATGAAAGGATAAACATTTTTTTTTTCCTTCCCTAAAAAGAAAATCGAACTTTCCTGGCACGCTTTCAACAAGAATTTCACTCTTTTCCGGCAAATCAGGCTTTCGCTAGGCCAGTTTGTGAACAAATAGCACATCTCTATTTCTGGCATGCTTCCATCAAGTTTGTGAACTTTAAAAGAGCTACCATTTCAGTTTCTAGAATCGGGGTTAATTCGCTCAGTAAAGTGAATTGGTTCTTTGAATCAAAAGTTCCGGGGTGAATCATCCAACTCGACTCCAAACGATCGCGGATATGTTTTCGTGAGATCAGAATTAAATCTAAAATCAAATACTGGGCCTTTTAAATACATGTTTTAAGAAAATCGTGAAGTCCACAGAAAAACTAGATTACGAAAAAGTTTCTGTATTTCTGTTCAGTTGCTTTTCGAAATGAACACTGAATAAATCATCATAAATATCTCCTCTTACTGTTGAATTTAAAAATACGAAGGAAAATAACTTCCAAAGAAAATATTATTAAAAAAGATAATTATCTCATACCAGTGACTTATTGTATTTAGAAAGACAAGAAACAACTGAATAATCAAAATATATGTTTGAATGTAAAACTCAAATGGAGCAAGATTTTCCCATAATCAAAAAAACCATATGGCTTTCAAAATCTGTAATATTAATGAGTAAACCTCGCGTACAGGAAACAACTGCAGCAATACAGCATATATTTTAATAATAAATACAATTAAACATCTCAGGGCAATAAAATTTGGTGCTGAAAATCGCTCGCAGTATTAATCCCTAAAATGACCTCATTCACAGAAGATTAAAATTGTTTGGAATCGTGAAATGTGTTTGGATCGTTTTATTGTAAAATGTGAGCAATTGGAAAAAGAAGAAAAAAAAAAAAAAAAACTTTCAAACTGTTTGGCATACTAAAATTATGCTTCAAACAATTTTTTTTTTTTTTTTTACTAACACAGATGGTATAAATGTTTATTAAAATTATCAGTCTGATATATTTTAAAAAATATGAAACAGTTGTATTATTAAAGAATAAAATAGTGATAAAATTTTTAAGGAGTTCGTATATTGATTTTAAATTCCTGTACAAAACATTTTTATAATTTGAAAGACAAAAATCTTCTTCCACAAGACTAGCAGCAGTTGTTTGAACAGCAATTTGGTTATGGTAGCGTAGCTTACACATGACGCAAAAAAAGGAAAAATTACTGACTTTTATGGCGTGAAATTAAATATCAAAGTATTTTTTAATATTTACCAGCGCCATAAACTCCAATAATCTGTCCATTTTTTGCATTATGTGTACGCTAAATTTGTTATCTTGTTTAGAATGAAATTTGTGTCTGTGTATAAAAAAATAAAGCGCATTTCACGTATATCACCCAAAGGATTTTTTTTTTTTTAATATAAAAACTAAAAATTTGCTATAACGCTCATTCTTTTATATTCGTTTTTCGATAAGAGATGGCAGCACTAAAACGTTTGACAATTTTCCTTGATTAGGGATGTTTGATATTGATAGAACGGAAGGCTTTTACTTGTTTACTT